AACAAGGGAGGATGAAAATGGACACATCGTAACTTTATAATGGAGACCTGAAAAACATCTCAACAAATGATCAAGTTTAACATCACCGGTGATGTTAATTGCATATGATCTGTGATGTGACAGAAGATGATGAGATGAGATATTCTAAAGACCCATAAACCCAGGCTAATCATGAGAAAAACATCAGACAACCCTAACTGCAGAGATAGTATAAAAACTATGGACCACTTCTCTTCAAATCTTCCAAAGTCATACAAAACTAGAAAAGACTGATAAATTTTAACAGAGAGGAGAAGAGGGAGATATGATGACTAAGTATAATGTGGTATTCTGGATTGGATCCTGGAATAGAAAAAAGACATTTGTGTTAAAACTGGCAAAATGCAAATAGTCTCAAGTTTAGCTCATAGTAACATATGCCAATGTTGGTTTCCTAGTTTTGTAAAACATACCATAGTAATGTAAGATGTTAACACCAAGAGAAACAATAATAGATATTAGATGTATGAGGACTCTTTGTTCTATCTTTGCCACATTTCTGCAGGCATAAATTTATTCCAAAATAAAAATTGACCTTAAGAATTGCCACTATTGATAACTTAATTACATAGCGGTACCTGACATTATTCACTATGTTTGAGTTAATATGAACATTTTTCTTTACAATGTGTCCATCTAGCTCCTTTTGTGATTCTAAAAGCAATACAACTCCTCAATAAACAACAAATTCATGTCTCTGGCCTGCAAATTTCTACTACTATATAGATCTAAGATTGACAAAAGATTCTCCCATAAAAATTGCTTCTTATAATTGGAAATGCAAGACAATATTCTAAAACCTATGTTTTCTGTTTTATCAACAGAGCCAATTGGCATCAAGGTTTAATGAGAACAACCTACTTGTAAACATCACCAAAATCCATTCAATTTGATCTCAGAAAGGAAATGTCTATTTAACGCTGGATCCATACCTACACTTTCTAAATATCAACTGACACATTTTTTGTTTTCCTTTGTCTCTTGCAGTTCATTATTTCCGTGTTTAATGGAAAATATTTTAATATGCTAATTCTTTCTCCATAAGCATTATTACATCTCAAATTATCATATTAGTCCTAGGATGCAAGGTATATTCCATGTTAACAACATGGCCTCAAATGTTTGTAATAAATAAAATCGTTTTCCTTCTAGCTTCACCTCCAGGTGACTCTACATTCCACCTCAGTTTTTTGAAGGGCCATATGAAATGCTATGCCATTTTTATTGAACTGTCCTTAAGACCCTGGGTATAGTTAAATCCTAGGGAAGTTTAATGTTTTATATTAAATGATACAAACTAAAAGCCATTTTCAGTATTTCTACACTCCTTCAGGAATTACTTAGTGGACTCTGATTTTCTCCACAATGACTCTTATTAAGTACTATTATAAGAGTACTTATGAAAATTACATAAGATTTCCTTACTGTGGCTTTTGTTTTATTTAATATTAGAGCAAAGTCTCTGTGTAACTCAGAACTTTATGTGCAGTGAGACTGGCTTACAAATGTGTTTAAGAATCTGGGAAGCATCAGTACATCAATCTGTGAACACAGTGAAAAATACACAATTTATATTTTTCTGATGGGATGAGAAAATTGTACATTTCTTCGAGTGCACACAAATAAGAGCTTGCATACACAGGGGTCACTACTAGAGAGAATAAAGGGACAGACAGTTGGGAAACACGCACTGATGAAGGCAGATGTCTTCACCAGCAACTTAGTAGTCTTATCAAAAAATTAAAATTAAAAGTAAATATGGCACTGATGGTATAAAAAGAAACAAAAGTGCTACCAGGATGAGGACGCTGTCAGTGGCTCTAATCTCAGGAGAGGTGCTGGGAGTTCGTGACTCTCCCAACAAAATAGGTCTCCAACAGGATCATTGTAAGAGATTTGGAAATAATAGAGACAGACACAAAGTATAGTTTAAAGTGATGGGGAAGTCAGGGGTCCTCCAGCATTCCCATGAGCCAGGGGACACTGAGTGAAGTCCAGCATCAGTATTTATTGGTATAGCAATTAGTTGTCAGTGGTTATAGATTTATGTGTACAGATCATTCATTTAGGTTTCAAGGTTTCCCAAAGGCTTCAAGAGATCCATTACCTAATTCTACTTACAAGAGCAAACGGTTACAAAACTTTTTCAAGATAAGCATTTTAAGCCCCAAATAATATACATAGCTGTGCATACAAGTCATTAATTAAGCAGTAGTATAAAACAGGAGCACCGAGCCTGCATACATCTCTAATCTATTTCTCTATATAATGAGACATGTAGTCAGGTGTTAAACAGGAACTGTCCTTGAGGCTAATTGGTTTTTGCTGCAGGTGTCTCCTGGGTGGAAATCCTTTGATTAGTCTCTTAGCCTTTCGCCCCATGCCAAGATCTGCTTTGCTTAAGCTCCAGGCGCTGGCTGACAGGCCTTGAGACTGGCAACACCTTGCAGTCATCCCTAATTGGTGGAATATCTCCCTTGTTGCTAAGCAGCTTCTGGTCTGTGAACTAAGACGCCCACGGATTCTTTCAAGACAGAATTCCAGCAAAACTCCAGAGTTTCCACGTCTCTTAACCCAATTTCCCAACATCTACCCCTTTCTTTATTAAAGTTGATGAAGCTGGATAGGTATCACTGCAAGGCAATGGACTCCGGACTCTTGTCTTCTGTGGAGTTTTTTCCAGACTATAAGTACAAGCAAATGATTAAAATAATTCCAAAAATTATATCAGAACTCTTCATAGATCTTAAGATGAGAAAGTGGGTTACCTGACTCCATTCCAGATGAAATACTATTAACAATGTGAGCCTCTGAGATTAGATCAAATTTGTGACTAAAGATACTTAGTATTTCTTGATATAAATTTCCAATCTCTTCAGTCAGATTTCCTTAAGAAGATGTTTGTTAATGTTTTCCCAAGGAAACTGAATCTGATTACATATGTGAGGTGTAACACAAAATTGAGTGATATTCCACTTGCGAGTCTAATTTACTTTTACAGCTTCCAACCACTTGTTGGAAGTCAACCACTTGAGTAGCCAATTTGTTGATCTGCTCTAAATTATGGTCACTTGATTGATCTCTGTCTCCCTTAACCTACACTGCCCTCCTGTCAGAAGTGAACCTTGAACACAATGAGCAAGATAAGTGACATCATACTTTTACATTATTCTCTGCCCCTCCCAGATGCTAATTCAGATAGTACTTAATATTCAATGGCAGCATCCTTCTTCTTACAGGAACATCGATACAAGTGATCCTCACTTCTAAACCAGGGCCTGCCATGCAAAGTATTCTTGCCCACAGGTCACAATGAAAGACTTTTGAAAAAGGTGTAATAGTAAGATTTCAAAGTTCAAGTTGAAAGTTATGAGTAGTTAAGCAGCATTTTCAAGAATCCTCAAATAAATGACTACAATATTTTGTAACTTCGAAGTAATTGGCCATCTCTAAATGTCCTGACACTGTGATATATATCATGCCATAAGTTTTAACACATTTGGACTTAGAATTATTTTACAGTATGTAGTATCAAAGGTTAACCATGGAGAAATAGAGATTGAATAATTCCTCATACAAATCCCCATTACATTTATGGCCACTGGGTAATAGCCACAACATGCATGTTACATTTATGTGGCTGAATCTGATTACATATATGAGGTGTAACACAAAATTGAGTGATATTCCACTTGCGAGAGTCTAATTTACTGTTACAGCTTCCAACCACTTGTTGGAAGTCAACCACTTGAGTAGCCAATTTGTTGATCTGCTCTAAATTATGGAGATGTGTATTTTGATGCCCAGTGGGTTGTGAGGAATGAAAAAAGCCTCTTCCAGATATAATTAAATGATTGTACTTTAGCGTGAGTTCTCCAATGTTAATGCTTGAACTCATGAGGGGTCTGCCATCGTCTGCATTTGTAAGGATTCTCTTGAGAATGAATTATCCAATGTCATGCAAGGAGTGAATTGTGACTGAAGACCTTGCCACACTCATTTGTATGGTTTCTTTGAAGTATGAATTCTGTGATGCCTTGCCAGCTTTGATTGTTCACTGAGGAGCCTGCCACAGTCATTGCATCTATAAGGTTTCTCACCAGTACGAATTCTTTGATGATTTGCAAGTTGTGAACGTTGAGTCAAAACCTTACCATGTTCATTACATTTGTAAGGTTTCACTCCAGTATGGATTGCCCTGATTGGTAGTTAGGCCTGAAAACAATCTAAAGGCTTTCCTACATTCATTACACTTATAAGTTTTCTCTCCATAATTAACTCCTTGATGACTTGAAATGCGTATATTTTAAATGAAGACCTTGCCACACTCATTACAGAAGGTATTTCTCTAGTATGGTGCTGGGAGTTAGCTACTCTCCCAACAAATGGGTCCCAGGAAGGATTGTCAGAAGAGATTTTGAAATAATAGAGACAGAGACAAAGTATAGTTTAAAGTCATGGGGAAGTCAGGGGCCCTCCAGCATCTCCGGAAGCCAGGAGACACTGGTTGAAGTCTCACATTAGTATCAATTGGTAGGGCAAGCAGTTGTCCTTGGTCATAGAATTATGTGTACAGATTATTCGTTTAGGTTTCAAGGCCCCCCAAAGGTATCAAGAGATAAAAGAAGGCCGGGCGCTGTGGCTCACGCCTGTAATCCTAGCTCTTGGGAGGCCGAGGCGGGCGGATTGCTCAAGGTCAGGAGTTCAAAACCAGCCTGAGCAAGAGCGAGACCCCGTCTCTACTATAAATAGAAAGAAATTAATTGGCCAACTGATATATATATAAAAAATTAGCCGGGCATGGTGGCGCATGCCTGTAGTCCCAGCTACTCGGGAGGCTGAGGCAGAAGGATCACTCAAGCCCAGGAGTCTGAGGTTGCTGTGAGCTAGGCTGACGCCACGGCACTCACTCTAGCCTGGGCAACAAAGCGAGACTCTGTCTCAAAAAAAAAAAAAAAAAAGAGATAAAAGAATAATTGGTTACAACATTTTCCCAAGATAAACATTTTAAGCCCTAAGTTTAGAATAGACAAGGCTCTGTATACAAGTTAAATTGTTAATTAAGCAGTAACACATAAAACAGTAACACTGAGCCTGCATAGTTATCTAATCCATTTCTCTAAATAACGAGACATATGGTCAGGAGTGAAGCAGCAACAGCCTTCAAGTTTATGATAGTTCCAGTGGCAGGTTGTTTGTTTTGTTGACATCCCTTGATCACATTTCTTAACCTTTAGCCCCACACCAAGCTCTGCCTTGTACAAGCTGCAAGCACCACCTTGCAGTTTCCCCTGATCAGTGGAATTACCCCTTAATGCTAAGCAGCTTCTGTTTGTGAACTAATTCACCAACAGATTACTTCAAGGCAAAGCCTTGCTCAACTCCTGAAACTTTCCATGTCTCTCAACTCTATTTCCCAACAGTATCGACTGTCTGATGCACAATGAGCAATGAACGCAGTCTAAAGGCTTTCCCACCCTCATTACATTTGTAAGGTGTCTCTCCACTATGAATACTTTGATTTACAAGCTGTGAATTTTGAGTGAAGGCCTTGCCTCATTCATTACATTTGTAAGGTTTATCTCAAATATCCATTATCTGATGGATTTTAAGGGCTGATTTCCGTCTGAAAGCCTTGTTACACTCATCACATTTGTAAGGTTTCTCTCCAGTATGGATTACCTGATGGACTTTAAGGGCTGATTTCTGACTGAAGGCCTTGCCACACTCATTACATTTGTAAGGTTTCTCTCCAGTATGGATTGCCTGATGGATAGTCTTGAATGTACACTAAAGGCTTTGCCACACTCTTAACACTTGTAAGGTTTTTCTCTACTGTGAATACTTTGATGCTTAACAAGGTGCCCATTTTGAGTGAAGGCCTTGCCACACTCATTACATTTCAAAGGTTTTTCCCCAGTATGCGTTCTCTTGTGACATCTAAGGTGTCCACTTCGAATGAAGGCCTTGCCACACTCATTACATCTGTAAGGTTTCTCTCCAGTATGGATCATCTGATGGGTAGTTAGGTTTGAATGAAGACGAAAGGCTTTGCCACACTCATAACACTTGTACGGTTTCTCTCCATTGTGAATACTTTTATGCCTAACAAGGTGCCAACTTCCACTGAAGGTCCTGCCACACTCATTACATCTGTAAAGTGTTTCTCCAGTATGCCTTCTCCTGTGACGTGCAAGGTATTTATTTCGAGAGAAGATCTTGCCACACTCACTACATTTGTTAGGTTCTCCTCCACTATGGATTACCTGATGGTTAGTTAGGATTGTACGAGCCCTAAAGGCTTTCCCACATTCATAACACTTGTAAGGTTTCTCACCAGTATGAATTCTTCCATGGATGACAAGGGAGCCATTACACGTGAAAACCTTCCCACATTCGTAACATTTGTAAGGTTTTTCTCCAGTATGCCTTCTCTTATGACATACAAGCTGTGAATATGCAGCGAAGGCCTTGCCACATTCATTACATTTGTAAGGTTTTTCTCCAGTATGTGTTCTCCTGTGAACTACAAGGTCTGCATTTCGAGTAAAGGCCTTGCCACACTCATTACATTTGTAAGGTTTTTCTCCAGTATGTGTTCTCCTGTGAACTACAAGGTCTACATTTTGAGTAAAGGCCTTGCCACACTCATTACATTTGTTAGAGTTCTCTCCAGTATGGGTTGCCTGATGGACAGTTAGTCTTGAATGTACACTAAAGGTTTTGCCACACTCATAACACTTGTAAGGTATCTCTATACCGTGAATACTTTGATGGCTAACAAGTTTTGAATTTTGAGCAAAGGCCTTGCCACACTCATTACATTTGTAAGGTTTTTCTCCAGTATGTGTTCTCCTGTGACGTTCAAGGTCTACGTTTCTACCAAAGGCCCTGCCACACTCATTACATTTGTAAGGTTTATCTCCAGTATGCGTTCTCTTGTGACATTCAAGGTCTACATTTCTACCAAAAGACCTGCCACACTCATTACATTTGTAAGATTTTTCTCCAGTATGCATTCTCCTGTGAAGTGCAAGGCCTTCTTCTCCTGCACTGGTCTTCCCTTTTGGTGCCACATTTTGTATTACAAATTCAGGAGAGAGATCTACAAGATATAAACCACCATAGGTCTCCAATTAATTACAGCATGTAAACAAACATTCCACATTGAGAAACTTAATATTACACCAAAACTAATACTGATATTAAACATATCTATGAAACTTCAGAAAGATAAAATTCAATTTTTAGGAACACACAAGGAATAGGATTGTTTCATAAAGAAAAGATGATTTCATGTGATCCAAATTAATATTGTGGAAGTCTAGTTTCAAACGATCTATAACTAAAACACAATGTGCAAACCTATGTTTCCCCGGAAGGATGTTACCCCAAGATATATTGCATAATGCATATAGTTATATAGCATATAGCATAGTCCAACAAGTCATATGGCATAATGCATACTTAAAAACTATAATCTAAACATAGTAAAAAAAAAATAATTAGTAAAACATCCTAATAATCTATTAAAAACAAGCAGACATGGAATCAGTAACTACATCTATAAAAAGTTATAGTTTGTGGAAAAGGGAACAATTTTCTCTTCAGAAATATACAGGGACATCCATTTTAAACCAGTAGAGTACAAGAACTGGAATTTGAGTTTTTAAAATTTTTATTATATATAAACAAATTATAATTTTATATATTTGTAGAGAACAAAGTAATATCATGATATACCTATATAATGTGGAATGATGAAATGAAGCTTATAACTGTAGCCATCACCATCAAAACATTACTTACTCCTGCTGTTGAACTGAAACTTTGTAATCACTGACCAACTTATTCCTTATCCTCCAGCCTCTGATAACCAACACTCTACTCCAACTGCATTCCACATATAAATGAAAATATCCAACATTTGTATTTCTGTGACTGGTTCCTTCTGTTAGCAAAATGCTATCCATGCTCCTCCACATGCGGGAAACTGAACTTCCTTCTTTCAAAAGCTGAGTAGTATTCCACTCTGTATTATACACCACATTTTCTGTATCTATTCATCTGCTTATGGACACTTACTTTGACTATATAACTTGGCTGTGTTAATAATGCCACAGTAAACATACAGATTCCATATCTTTAGATTTAAAACCAGCAGTGAGATTGTTGGATCATATAATAATACTATTTTTAGTTTTTAGAGGAAACACCATACAGGTTTCCATAATGCCTATAATAATTGACATTCCCACCACCAGTATAGAAGAGTTTCCTTTATTTCCTATCCTCATCAACAATTCTCAACAGTAGCTATTATTACATGTGTACAGTGGCATCTCATTGTGGTTTAAAGCTGTATTTTCATAATAATTACTAATGTTGAGTCTTTTTAATATATTGATTGTTCGTATGCATGTATTCTTTCAAGAAATATCTTTTGAGGTCCTTTGACCATTTTTTAATTGGGTTATTTCTTTTCATGCCATTGAGTTCAGTTTCTTACACATTTTGGATACTAATTTCTTACCAGATGTACAGCTTGTAAATATTTTCTCATGATGCCAAGTTTCCCTTGTTTCCTTTGTTGTAAAGAAACAGTTTTGTGTGGTGCAATCCACATCTATATTCATCTATATTTCCTTCTGTTTCCTGAGCTTTTGGGGTCAAAACTAAATAAATGATTATTGAAACCAATGTCAAGTATGTTTTTCTCTGTGATTTCTTCTAGTGGTTTATTTTTATACAAGGGCTATTTTTTTTTTTTTTTTTTTTTTTCTCGCTTGTTGCCCAGGCTAGAGTGAGTGCTGTGGCGTCAGCCTAACTCACAGCAACCTCAATTTCCTAGGCTCAAGCAATCCTGCTGCCTCAGCCTCCTGAGTAGCTGGGACTACAGGCATGTGCCACCATGCCCAGCTAATTTTATATATATATTAGTTGGCCAATTAATTTCTTTCTATTTATAGTAGAGACGGGGTCTCGCTCAGGCTGGTTTCGAACTCCTGACCTCGAGCAGTCCGCCCGCCTCAGCCTCCCAGAGTGCTAGGATTACAGGCGTGAGCCACCGCGCCCGGCTGCAAGGGCTATTGGAAAGGGCTATCCAGCTACTGTTAATACTATTTTTCATATTACATGGCTGGATACATTATGGACCGCACTTGTAGAGGATCTGAGATAAGGATCCAGTTTCAATCTTCTGCATGTGGAATCATTTTTGCAGCACTGTGTACTGAGAGACCGTCGTGTTTCACTTGTGTGTTCTTGGCACCTTTGTCAAAAATCCATTCACCATATGTGTATTGGTTCATTTCTCTTCTTTATTCTGCTTCACTAATTAATGTGTCTATTTTTAGGCTACTACAATCCTGTTATAAATACTACACTTCTGCAATATAGTTTGAAATCAGGTAGTATACCTTTAATTTTGTTCTTTATAATAAAAATTACCTTGAATATATGAACTGCTGATTAAATAAATTTTTTAAAAGTTCACATGTAATACATAAAACTATACAAGAGGAAAGCTGCACTGGCTTAAACAAATTATGCTAGAATTAAAATATGGAGACATCATTTAACTTAATAAATTTCCTACAGAAGATGTTTCAAAACCATGCCTATTACAGGTGTGATTCAATGACAAAATGACAAAGTTTTTGTTTTTGAAAGAGAATAGTGACACATACAGGGGATGAAAAGTGTGACATGAACAACAGATTACACATGAGGGAGTGGCCTTAAATAATATTTTCCCTAGAAGAAATTTCTACAACATTGACTGCTGGCTCAAGGGAGATGACCATTAGTATATGTGATCAGCATTGTCACAGTGACACTTTTGTAATGTTTCTCAAAAACTAGAAAAACAATAGGAAATACTCATCAGTCAGGCTAATTGGATACTTTTTATCTCAGGATCACGGCCCACCTATACTCAGTGGCTTCAAAGGGTATCTTCACATGTAGCAGGATGATATTCAATCACATTAGTTAGAGTGTTCTCGTTCTCCTTCATCAATTTTATGTTATACACTAAACCCACTCCAAGGAATACTCCACAAGAAGTTATGCATATCCTAAAGGTGGATTATCCCAACAAGGCAGCCCTGAGGCTATCATCTCAGTCAAGCAATGCAGGGGTTAACTAGAGACTCAGAAGAGAAACTGCAAAGATACCTGAGCACAGATCCAGACTTCCACAGGAAATGGAAGTGTGTATGTTGTGTATGCGTATGTTGAAAGCCAGTTTCTGAAACAAAATCATACAAATTAAGAAGAGTCAAAATCAGGTAGAGCCAAGGCTCCCTACATTCAGAGTGGAAAAGAGATGCAATGGAAAAGAGAAAAATACAGCAATGGAAAAGAGAAAATACAATGCATGGGCATCAGATTTTGTGGTATCTTGAGAATGAATTCCATGTTCTGCCAACAGAACCCACACAAAGAGACTGAAAGAATAGGATCTGTACCCATGTAGGACAGGAGATCAAAGACAGGATGTTTCTATTGACTTCATTTTCTGCTGAGTGACAATCTCAGAAGATCCAACTCACTTGCTTGTCATACACACCCATGAAGTGTGGCAAAAATGGCTTAGGGACCTGACCAGGCAGAAAGAGATTGAGAAAGCCCCAGGAAGTTTCTGGAGTCACCAATGCAAAGGAAGACCAGACAATGTTTTCCATCTCTAGACTGGGTCTTCCAAGCACATCAAATGGAATGAAACATGGAGAGGTCCAGTCATCAGGACTATGAAGACCACAGATCTGATCAATATATCTGCGAACTTAGCATGAGATGGACTCACCTACAGAAGGAAAGGGCAAGGGAGAAAGCAACCTTTCTGAAACAGCCTTTCCTGTGCTGCTCAGTGTCAACAACAAAAGGGTCCATGAGGTCAGATAACACAGTGTTGTCCACCATGACAGGGACTTTCCATTTGTTTTTGTTTGAGCACCACTGAAGGGTACAAGGATAAAGTGTTACATATCTGAGGAACAGAGTTAGAAGTGGAGGAAAAGAAAAATTTCCTTTCAGAGCTCACAGGATATAAACTTTTGTTTTCCCATAGAACTGTCAGATTTGCATAGAGTTTTCCAAGCACTATTTAAAGAGCAGCTTTCTCTCTATCCATCTGAGCACTTACCTGCCCTCACACCTTTGATCAGTTTCCATTCATCTGATTTTCTTGCTATTTGCACTTGGCTCTCTACAGTCCAGGGCTCTTTCCCTTGCTCCAACATGGAGAAGATACTCAGGTCAAAATGAGAAATCCCTGCTTATAGAAACAAAGGAATATAAGGTACCATGGCTTTTCCAGAATCCCAGCCCTATGTTTAAGTAAGGAGAAAGGATATTGCAGATGGATATATCAAGATATATCAGAAATCAATCATCTGAATGCCTCTTCTTGAATGCTATGGGAATACTGTAACATGTAGACATATAGTCGTCTTTGAAGAACCAAAGACTCAAAGCCCAGGGGTAAAAAACAGGAAATTGGATATTTTAAACATCTGCCACAAGGTTTTACACATATATAAGCTCTGGAACCATCCAATGATATATCATGAAATGGGAGAACATCTGAAGAAAGGGGACAGTTAAAGTCCAGATACCCCATTATAACGCTTTTCATTTCTGAATCCAGAGGGCTTTAATCTCAGTCAAGCAATGCAGGGGCTCATAGGAGACTCACAAAAGAAAATGCAAAGATACACAAGAGGACATTCTGACTTCTAAAAGAAAGTTATTCTTACCCAAGAAGACCAGGTTCCTGTAGTTCTCCAACATCACATCCCTGTATAAAGCCCTGTGACTTGGATCTAAGCATTTCCACTCTTCCGGAGAGAATTCTATGGCCACATCCCTGAATGTCAACCGTCCCTAAAATGAAAAACACATTTCACCAAGTGGCTATTAAGGAGAGATCTAATGTTCACATAATATGAGGAGAGAACCCTAAGAATAGATTTGATTGAAGTGAATGGGTTCACAGATCCACACTGTGATACTATGAAATATTAATATCTGTGGTCATCTACTCCCTCCTGACATACAACTCACCTGAAATCTCTGGAGGGACAGTACGGGTCATATGTTAATGAGGTAAGTGGTAGCCTAAGGCCCCTACATACCTTCAGACTGGGGACTGGTTACTGGAAATACCCAGGCTGGATTACAGGGTCAGAACTCTTAGCTCCCACCCCCAACGTCCAATGGGAGGACACGGGCTGAAAACTCACTTGATCACCAATATCTAGTGATATATACAATCATGCTTATACAGTGATGTCTCCACAAAATCCAAAAGGATAGGGTTCAAAGGACCTTGCAGACAGGTGAAAAGGGAAAGGTTCCCAGAGGGTGGTGCTTGCAAAGATGGCATGGAAGCTCTGAGCCACTTCCTTCCACACTTTGCGCAATACATCCTTTCCATCTGGCTGTTCTTCTGTGTAGTTTGGAATATCTTTTATTATTTTTTTCAGACTCCAGTGAAACCTCTTATATTAATATAAGGATATGGAGTTCTGCTTCTTACACTCATAAATTGTGATAACACCTAGATAAGGATGTTGAATGCAAAAAGAATATTATTTGTAAAGAGAAATAAATAAAACACTCTTTGGTGATATCATTTTCCCTGCATCCTACTATCTCTACTAGGTTGAAAACCTTTGTTCTAAAAGCAGTATGTTGATCAGATTAGAGTAGTTCCCTGTTTTAACAGGGAACCTTCAATGTAATCTCTTAACTCTTTCAAAATGGATGCACGCAGTGGCATTTTCTACTAGACCCAAAGCTGAGTACTCTTACATAATTTTAATACTATTTTAGGCAACTCTTATGACAATTATACTAGCAAGTTTCCTCAAACAACCCAAGCTCATCAACTGCTGCTTCTCTAAGGTGGTGTGCACTTCACGCTGAGGTCATCACAGAGAGCGAGGCCCACACTTCTTCCCTTAGGGACTTGTGAGGGAACAGAGGAGCACAATTTGGGAGCTACCTGTGAGCTGGTGTTTCAAAACTAGAACAAGACAAGGATGTCCACTGTAACCACTTTTATTCCACATAGTGCTGCAAGTCCTACCCAGGCAAGTGAAGGAGAAGAATGGTGACCAAATGGGGAAAAAAGAGGTCAAACTATCACTCCTACTCATGATATGATCTTATATCTAGAAAACCCCAAAGATTCTGCCAAGAGTCTCCAGGAATTGATAAATAAATTCATCAAAGTCTCAGGTTACAAAATAAATGTACACATATCAGTAGTATCTCTATATAGCAACATCAAGCTGTGAATCAAATAAAAAAACTCAATAAATTTCACAATAAAAACAGAGAAAATGAAATACCCAGGAAAATATCCAACCAAGAAGGTGAAAGATCTGTATAAGGTGAACTATGAATCACTAAGGAAGGAAACTGCAGAGGATGAAAACAACTGGAAAAACAAATCATGGTCATGGATTGGCAAAATCAACATTGTTAAAATGCCCATACTACCCAAAGTGATGCACAGATTCAATGCAACCTCCACCAATATACCAAGGTCATTTTTTGTAGATCTACAAAAAAGTACTTCTACACTTTGTATGGAACTAGAAAAGAGCTTCAATAGCCAAATCAACCTTAAGCAAAAGGAACAAATCAGGAGGAATCACTTCACCAGACTTCAAGCTATACTACAAGGCTATAGTAAATAAAACAGCATACGACTGGCACAAAATCTGGACATAAACCAATGTAACAGAACAGAGAACGCAGATATAAAACCCTCCACACAGCCCAATGTAACAGAACAGAAGACCCAAATATAAAACCCCCCACATATAGCCATCTGATCTTTGACAAAGCAGACAATATATGCGGTGAAAAATCAGTATTCAATAAATGGTGCTGGAAAATTAGACAGCCACATGTAGAAGATTGAAACAGGATCCTTATCTCTCACCACTGACATAAATAAATTCCTGATGGATAACAGACTTAAATGTAAGACATGAAACTATAAGAAACCTAGGAGAAAATGTTGGAAAAACTCTTCTAGATGTTGGCCTAGGCAAAGAATTTAGAAGACGACCCCAATTACAATCACAACAAGAATAAAAATTAATAAATGGGACTTGGTTAAATTAAAAACCTGCTACACAGCCATTGAAACATTAGAGGGAATAGAAAACCTACAGAATGGGAGAAAATATTTGCATGATATCCAATTGATAAAGGGCTAATCACTAGAAATGGCAAAGAACTGAAACAACCACCAAGAAAAAAATCAAACAACCTCATTAAAAACAGGGCAAAAGACATGAACAGAGCTTTCACATAGAAAACAGACTAATGGCCAATCCACATGAAAAAATGCTCAACATCTCCAATTATTAGGGAAAGGCACATAAAAACCACTATGACATATCAACTAACTCCAGTGAGAATGGCTTTTATCAAAAAGTCTCCAAACAATAGATGCTGGTGTGGATGCAGAGAGAAACAAACACTTATACACTGTTGATGGGATTGCAAACTAGTACAGCCTCTATGGAAATTATTATGGAGATACCTCAAGGAACTAAAAGTAGACTTTCCATTTGATCCTTCAATTCCACTACTGGGTATTCACCCAAAGAAAAAAATGTCCTTTTATAAAGAAGACACTTGCACTAAGATGTTCATTGCAGCCCAATTTACATTTGCAAAAATGTGGAATCGACCCAAAACACACATTAATTCATAAGTGGATTAATAAAATGTGGTATATGTGTACCATGGAGTACTACAGAGCCATAAGAAAAAAAAAGAGGAGTTATTACCCATTGTAACACCTGGAACAAGCTATCTTTTTCCTAAGGATTAATGTATATGCATCAAGAATGATAAAACAAACCACACATAGCATTCGTACGTAAAATACGAGTACCGATCAGGCGGGCGCTGTGGCTCACGCTGTAATCCTAGTGTGCTGCTTTGGAGGCGGAGGCGGGCGGATTGTCAAGGTCAGGAGTTCAAACCAGCCTGAGGCAAGAGCCGAGACGCCGTCTGCTACTAATAAATACAAAGACAATTAATTGGCCAACCTTGATATATATACTATTAAAAATAAAAAAAAAATTAGCCGTGGCTAATGGTGGCGCAGCCTGTAGTCCCAGTACCCGGGAGGCTGAGCAGAAGGATCACTGAGCCCAGGAGGTTTGAGTTGCTGTGAGCTAGGCTGACGCCACGGCACTCCTCTAGCCTGGGCAACAAAGC